ATCATCTTCTTTCTATATCAAATAAGTAGCTGTAGTAGCACCATGAAAGCCATATAAGCAAGAGCACTTTGATAGCATCAACACAAATACACAACATGACAAATGATTAACTAGAGATAGCATGAGGCAATAACGAAGCTTCCAGAGAAATTTGAACAACCTAAAGACCTACCAGAGAAATTTGAACAACCAGAGAAATTTAAACAAACCAAAGACCTACCAGAGAAATTTGAACAACCCAGAGAAATTTGAATAGCCAGATAAATTTGAACAATCTAGAGAAAATGGTAAACAAATCAAAGAAAATTTTAAGTAAACAAGAGAGAATTTTTTTAGTTTGGTGAGAATTTCTCTGGTTTGGACCAGAGAAATTCAAAGCAAGATGGTTGTTGTTGAAAAACCTTAATACCAGGGACCAATCTAGAGAAATTTTAGTTAAAACCTGAGAATTTCTCTGGACCATCCAGAGAAATGTGCATTAATCAGCTGTGTATTTGTCTCAATCAACATCATTAATTGACAGAATTTTATAACACAATGGCTGCTCAAAGAAGCACAGTTTCGGTGTATCTTAAACAATGGTGGCGCTGTCAAATGGAAAACAAGTGCTACTAAGTTAACCACATGGAAAAAATGTTAAAACTGCTCCACAAATAAGGGTGCCAGAAACATGAAAGGTGGCATGAAGGTTGCAATTGTATGCTGCCTATTATTACAACACTGCTCAATTTGTATCATGAAGGAGTCAAGATTACACATAGCATTTCAAAAACATAACAGCAACAACAGGGACAGGAGATTAACCATAACCAAGCTTTGAAGGAGGATCAAGCAAGTCAAAGCTTTCGGGATTTCCCGTATTTGTTTTCTCAGGCCGGTGATCTTACAGTCAATGACGTAGAACAACTTCTGAATAATTACAAACATCTCGTCTTCAATTATGTTTGTCTTTCTAAAGGATTGGGTGTTGCAAACCCTTCTCCTCCGTTGTCTGTTTCGCAAAGTCAATCCCAACATCAAACTGAAAATGTGAAGGAATTTGAAGATTCAAGTGCAGTCTCACTGCTTGGAGTGGAAAATTCTGAATACAAGATACCCTAAGATGAATCAGTAAAATCTCAAAGTGAGGGAAATGATAAGATTTCCCACAGTTAAATCAGTAGAATCTCTGGATATATATATGTGCTGACATTGTATATATATATATGTATGTATCATATATATATATATATACATTTATCAACAATGAAGAGATAGAACAAACTGTAGAACCAAAGAACGTTGCTTCCGCAGAGTCAGCGAAGATCAACCTCGAATCGGTGATCGCGAAC